AGTCGTCTTGTAGAGCCATTCGCGAGTCCCTTCTAGAGTTCAGCTGCTTCAGGGTTATGAGTTCAGGGTCATCAGACCTCTCAGCGAGAAGGAGCAGCATAGGATCAAAACCAAAGCAAGAGCGGCGTTGCCTTTCTTTCAGCTTTCCCGGAATCTGGGAAACCTAAACCCTAAACCAATAAACCCCTAAACCCTAAACCAAATAACCCCTAAACCCTAGACCCCAAAGCCTTAAAGCCCAAAACCCCAAGATTTTTAGAGGGAACGCAGGATTTTGCGCCTCCGCGAGCCAAGGTCTCCCACAGATCTGGTGAGACAGAGGTGCCTTGAAGTTCCGGGCTTCGAGTAATATAGGGGCCTAAATTTGGCCACGGTTTAGGGTTTAGGGTTTAGGGTTTTAAATAATTGCCTATATTATTTTTATTTTTATTTTTTTTGGGGGGGTGTTCCTTACTAGACATGTAGTATAATGGGCCCCAAAACCCTATTCCAATTATGAAGGCCCCTATAGTATCTCGCGTCCATCCTGGTCACCGGGTAGTATACTGTAGGGGTCAGGATAATTAGTAGCTCTATGGCCGTATAGACGGTCACATCCCCCGAAGTCCTGGTCTAGTCTGACTAGGCACTTTAACTAATTAATACGAAGCTTTCTGGTAGCCAACCCTCGACTCCGAAATCCCAAATCGTAAGCTCTGCTATCGATTCGGGAGTTTTCAGATAGACGCCCAATAGTAGGATCCTTTGTGTAAGGACCCCCGCAAATGTGTGACCCCCGGTTGCCCCCTCAGGGTTCCGAATCCTGAATATTTTGGGGTAGTGTATGACGGCCTCTTACCCCCTCTCCCCCTTACCCCCCTTCTTTTAACGGCTCTTCTGCGTTGAGGTCCCTAGATTCATGTAATTCTCCACCAGGGGATCCTCGTCCTGCTGCTCTTGTATTCCGGCCTAGGGTTTTAGGGCTTCAGGGAGGTCGGGGTTCCTGGGATCTTAGCAGCTGAGTGGTAGCCTTTAACCGCTAATCTTTTTTTGGGCCCGGGTACTCAGCCCCTAAGGGATGCAGGGTTTCAAGTTCCAAGTTCCCGCTGTCCTTTGCCTGTCATCCCTGCCGCCCCGCCTCCACCTGAAGATAGCTTGTCGTCACTAGTACGTGTGATAAGTGAACTACAGTAACCAAAACCAGAACAAGTTGCAAGCTTTAGGGTCTAGGGCTTGAAGTGCCCGTGGCCACTCGAATCTCGAAGTCGGGTAGGGGGTTTTAGGGTTTAGGGTTTAGGCTCTTATTATGCCTAGTCTCCAACCTAAACTACTTGAGTACCGCTGATCTTGTCACACTCCATGTCTTCCTTGAGCAGGACTCCTTCATCGCCGATCTTGTCGTGGGCCTTCGCACTGGGCAGTCGGGGTACCCGGAAAAAAATATGATGAGCTTCGATCCTAAGTTTCGAGTTCCGGTGGTATGAGGTTTATAAGTTGATCTGTCGGGAGAGGTCGACAGACTATGTTATAGTCTCTATACCTTATGCGGTATTGTACTAAGCTTCGGAATAGTAGCAAACAGCGATCCCAGTCCCGAAATGCTCACCCTGCAATAACAGCCCCAGAAGCCCTGTTCTGATTACTACACTTGATCGGGTGGCAATGTGGGTTTTGTAGAGGTGTTTACGAACTGAGAAAGATCTTGATGCCGTTTGACCGAAAACCTGCTCTGTCGTACTTTTACTTCAGCAAAACACACATGTAGATCATGCGTACATACATACATACATACATACATACATACACATACATATACCTACGTACACACATACATACATACATACATACATACATACATACATGCATACATACATATACACACAAGCATGCATACGCAGACATGCATGCATACATACATACCTGCATTCATAAATGCGCACGTGCGTGCGTACGTAAGTCGGTACGTACATGCATGCTAAATGTATACATGTGTTCATGCATGCAATGTGCAGGCATACTTACATAAAAAAAAACAAGCGCTTTGATACATAAGAAAGCATAGATACGTAGGTATACAGTTACTTAGACTCGCCCATACCGACGTACAAACTTAGGAAGACAGAGAGAGCAACAACACCAAGCAAAATAACAGCGGACCGGTTTAAGTTGCGTCACAGATGTGCCAGGATCAAGACTGGGGCCCCCTGCCGATCAGAGCGTCCAGCTCTCAGCTGTCAGGAATAGCTAGGTTTAGGGTTTAGGGAGTTTAGGGAGTTTAGGGTTTAGGGGTTTAGGTGGGAGTTGAGGTTTTTGAGTTTAGGGATTTCGAGTGTTTCAGGCTTAGGGTTTGGAACGTCGATGGTTTGGGTGATGGGCTGGGGGGCGTCTTTGCACGTGGTCCGACGCAGAAAGGCCCGCAACACAGCCCCAACCCCGAAACCCCGAAAACCAAGAACAGAGCTGCTATAACCCTAGAAACTCCTGAAAACCTAAACTTCCAAGTCCCCAGAAAATACGCCGGAGAGGCCTCTCGAAGTACAACCAGCTCCTCCGAATCGAGGCCGGACATGTGGGAGTTTCCGAAAATAAGGGGTACCTCGTTTTGGGGTCCTTATAATAAGGATCCTACTATTTAGGGTACTATATTAGGGTACCTTATTTGGGGTCCTTAGAATAAGGATCCTATTATTTAGGGTACTATAGTAGGATCCCCTACTTTCGGAAACCCCCATGTCTCACGATGGATCGGCTTAGGGGGCTTGAGGTTGATCCGGGCTCGGGGTTTAGGCTCTTGGGGATTAGGATCTTTAGGGTTTCGCATGGATGGTTGAGGGCTTTTATTAGGGGAGGTCGGGTATTTCTGGGACTCAGGATCTAGCGGGGGCGCTTGACGCTTTATCTAAGTTTGTCTCTGGTTTCCAAGGTGGCTAAAGACTATGCATGTTTCCTTGTGTCTGGAGGCATAGCATACTTACCCAGGATACCTCCATGTGCGGGGGTACTTGTTGCCCAGGCTTTTTTTGCTCGCAATTACAAACTCCTCATCATCCCTTAGAAGGAGAGAACCGCTGTTCATACAGCATTATAGGTTACGCCCTCCAGGAAATGCGGAAAAGAAAACTCGTATAGAGTGTTTGAGGGCGTGTGTACATGTACATATATACATATGCATGTACATATACATACACATGCACATACGTGTATAACAGTAGATCAGCCGTTATAAGTATACTGCTAAGCATGTACGAAGATCTTGCTGAACCCGGAACAGGAGGAGCTGGAGCATCTCTGCAGCTATGCGGGGGCCAACTTCCGGAAGCCGTGAGGAAGTCGCCTTAGAAGGGCCGACAAGAACGAGCACGGGATTAAGGATTTACCACATGGGGTCGGTAAGTCTGTAGTACTGTAGGATTCCGTATGTTATGAAGCTCGCAGATCGATTAGATGCTTGTGTTTACGGGCTTCGGGTGTGTAGTCTTCGGGTTTAGGGCAACAAGTAGCAGCAAAACTCATGCTATTGCATGTTATTGGAGTTGCACAGCAAGACTCCTTGTTGATACGGGTAGAATCAAAAAAACCCAGAAGGGCTTCGTGTTCGCAACAAGTAGGCCTGAGCTCTCTGTGCTAGGTTCCTGTCCATGCCCCTTTGTCTGGCAGCACCAGCTGAATTTCAAGGGGAGGCAGCCCTAAAGCCCAAAAGCCCCCAGGCCCTATCAGCCAAACCCGAAATCCCCTACTTCGGGGGGGCAGGGCTCGATCCACCCTGAACACGGAACCCCTAAACCCCGTAAATTTCTCTAAAAGCTTATAAACCCAAAGGCCCCCAAAGGCCCTTAATTAACCTCAAACCCCGAGACCCCTGAACCCGTAAATCTCTAATCACCCAAAATCCCAACACAAATTAAACTACTCCGTGAGGCAATCATGGCTACCCCCCACTTGTAAAGGCTGGAGATCTCTTGTGACGCGGTGCCCAGGGCTGGAGAGCTTTGCAACCTTAAAGCAGTAGCAGGAAACAAACGGTTCGGTTCGGTTACAGTTTCTGTTTGTGCGGTTCGGTTCGGCGGTTCGGTTTTGAGCGAAGGTTCTGGACGGTTCGGTTCGCGTTCGCACGGTTCCAGAAGTAAAGCCCTTACCTCTTCAAGGCCTTTAGAAGAGCCCTCCTAAGACCAACAGAACCGAAAATCCCGAGCACATTGTGTTAGAGTTAGGGCGATTTTGGGGGTTTTGGGGCCCCTTCAAGGCCGAAAAGAAGAGCCCTCCTAAGGCCAACAGAACCGAAAATTCCTAACACATTGTGTTTGGGCGATTTTGGGGGTTGGGGCCCGACCTAAGGCCAACAGAACCGAAAATTCCTAACACATTGTGCTAGGGCGATTTTGCGGGGGTTTGGGCCCCCCTCAAGGCCTTTAGAAGAGCCCTCCTAAGGCCAGCAGAACCGAAAGTTCCTAACACATTGTGTTTGGGCGATTTTTGTGGGTTTGGGGCGCCTTTAGAAGAGCCCTCCTAAGGCC